TTGTGGACGTGCTGGGCGACTCTGGATGTCCGTCTGGAAATGATGGATGGGCGCAGTTTTTCAGAAAAATCTGCTACTGAGGCCAGCGGCCCCAATAGACACAGGCCATGGTCACTCCAGACACACAGGGGCCATAGTCACTCCAGACACACAGAGAGCCTGTGGTCACCCAAACACACACAGAGACTGTGGTCACTCCAGACACACAGAGAGCCCCTGGTCACTCCAGAGACACACACAGGCCATGGTCACCCCAGAGGCACCCAGCCTTGTTCCTGCCTCTGAAGCCAGGCCCCTCCCCAGCAGGGAGCTGTTCTGCCCATGCCTTGTCAAGCAGCCACAGGGCCCATGAGACCAAACCCCATACACAGATGTGACTGGAGAGTCTGTCACCCCAGGCCCTGCCTTTCCCAAGGAGCGAGCATGGGGCTCACCCACAGTGTCCTGGCCAGGCCTGGCAGGGTGATGTCCAGGAGACAGAGTGGGCTCCGAGTCCAGCCCCAGAGCCCATGGCTGGCTGACCTCATCCCCGGAGCCAACTGTAGCAGTGAGTTTGACCCTAGAGGTGGGCAGGTGCCTGGAATGGTGGTTGTGTCTCTGCGTGCAACCCTCGAGTTCCGTATCTGAGTGCCTGGGCTCCAGTCCCAGCCGTGCTCCGGACCCCAACTTCCTAAGAGCACACACCTGGGAAGGGAGGACGGCTCGTGCACCTGCTCACTTCTCATTGCTCTCTCTGAGGTACCTGAGAGCAGGCTCTGGGGCAGAAAGGGTTAATTCCTCTCACAGTGGATGTGCAGGACAGGGCAGCCTCGTCATTCGGCTCCGAAGCAGAGCGGCAGCAGGGGTCACATCCTGACCCAGGAAGCAACAGCAAGAACCTAAGCTGAACTCCTGGGACGCCCTCCAGCGGCTGCCCTCAGGGACCCAGAGACTCCTGACTGACCCCACCTCCCAACCAAGACTCCCTCTGACCCCACCACTAAGGCTGAGACCCCGGAGTGTGAACACCTGCAGGCGTGTGCGACAGCTGCTGGAACGGCGGAGTGCCACGCTGCCCTCACAGATGGAGAGATCTCACCTGGGGCAGGTGGTCACCTGGGAGGAGAGAATCATGGGATTCGGAAGGATACAGAAGGCTGCAGGCTCATATCTGTCCCCAGGAGACACCTGTGGTGTCCACGCCACGAGCAGAAGAGGGTTAGGAGGAGGAGCAACCTTGCACGAGTGCGGTGCAGAGGAGGGAGAACGTTTCCAGCACATCTTGACGCAGGGGGACACCGACCCCTCTTGTCCCTGCCCAGCCCACCCTGCCGAGGACGAGACCTCTGGCTGCAAGCTCTCTCCCTGCCGCAAGCTCCCACGGTGCCTGCTGACTGCTCAACCTAACCTCAGGGAGCCCTGCTTCCACAGTCCGAATCAGAACTCTCACGAAGAAGCCTCTCGAGGGCAACCCCTATTCCGTAAACCACTCCCAGGATGCACCTGCTGGTTTCGGACCCCGCGCTGTGATACGGCAAAGTCCATAGGAGCCTGGCACGGAGCAGTCACATTCGTCTTCACCTCCCCCCGGTGCAGCCCCCACAGAGGTCACAGGTGTCTCCCTGCTCCCCCTCCCCCCGGTGCAGCCCCCACAGAGGTCACAGGTGTCTCCCTGCTCCCCCTCCCCTGGTGCAGCCCCCACAGAGATCACAGGTGTCTCCCTGCCCCCCTCCCCCTGGTGCAGCCCCACAGAGGTCACAGGTGTCTCCCTGCTCCCCCTCCCCCTGGTGCAGCCCCCACAGAGGTCACAGGTGTCTCCCTGCTCCACCTCCCCCTGGTGCAGCCCCCACAGAGGTCACAGGTGTCTCCCCCTCCCCCTGGTGCAGCCCCACAGAGATCACAGGTGTCTCCACCTCCCCTGGTGCAGCCCCCACAGAGGTCACAGGTGTCTCCCTGCTCCACCTCCCCCTGGTGCAGCCCCCACAGAGGTCACAGTTTCTCCCTGCTCCCCCTCCCCCTGGTGCAGCCCCACAGAGGTCACAGGTGTCTCCATGCTCCACCTGCAGACATGTTTGCAAGCATGGAGGGAGCCCCACCAGGCACACACCACCCAGTGCTGGGGTCTTCATGCTCTGGTACCCCTGGGTCTCCCACAGGTGAGCCAAGACAGGTGTGGCCTGTGGGAGCTGGGTGAGGGGCAGGGGCAGGTAGGCTCCTTCCATTTCCTGTCCACTCCACACGGAGCCCGACCACGCTCCCTCTGCCAGAGCGGAGGCCACTCCTGGACGTCCGCCCCACAATGCGGCCTCCCCTGTGTCAGGGCTGCCCTCTCTGTGCACCCACTCTGGGGCCTCAGCTCGCTGGACACACAGGTGAGCTCCTCAGCCAGGCAGGAGGGGCCGCCTGCAACCCAGGGGCAAGGTGGGTGAGGCTGAGCTGGGGTCTGGGAGTGGGCAGTCGCAGGGCTACACGTGGGGACCTACCTCACGCCAGGCAGAGCTGGACTCCGCACCGAGCCTGCGGCCAGCACAGTGGTCAGCTCTGGGAGCTGCTCTGGGCTTCCTATAAAGCAGGCGGCCTGACCGAGGCGCCAGATCCGAGCCGCAGCACCTGCCGGCCCCCACACCGCAGCCCCACTCCCCCAGTCCCCCGTCAGAATTTGCTATTTTTAGGAAATGGGGGAGACCTCCGAGCAGATCGTGACTAAGTGGAGGCGGGGGCGTTGCAGCACAAGGGCTGCCCCACCACTGGCTGGGCCCGCTGTGGACAGCAGCTGCCCTCAGATTAGCCTCCTACGCTGGGCCTGTGAGTGGCTTCCCGGGAGCACATGCATATTTGCACAGCCACACATGGGTACACATACGTGTGCACTCAAAACAAGTGCTCAGTTGTATGTGCTCATATGTCACATGTATGTGTGTGCTTGCATGGGCACGCACATGTGCATGCACAAACGGCATGTATACATGTGTGTGCACATCCACACATGTGCACGCTCACATGGGTACACACATGTGTTCACTCAACACAGGCAGCACTTGCACAAGCTCACAAGTCACACACCTGTGCGTGATCACATGGGCACATTCAGGTGCACGTTCACATACCCACACGTGTGTGGTCACAGGGGCACATGTGTGTGCATGTTTTACCAGCTGAATGCAGTGAAAGAACCACACACAAACCTGCATCCTGGCTCAAGGTACCAAGGCAAAATGAAAAACAAAGGAGTCTTGGTCCCCTTCACAGAGACCCCCGGTATGCAGATCCTGTCCTTGGCTAGGAAGGGACCTGGACACCATCTGAGGATGAGTCTCTCCCTCGTCATTAGGGGGCAGGCCCAGAATGCCAGGTACCCACCAAGCCTCCACGAGTGACCTGCAGGGCAGGTGCCTTGAGCTGGTTCCCACTAGCCAGATGCCGAACATGGACAGGTGCGTCCACCTGGCCTGCGGGGTCTGCAGTCCTGTCGGCAGCCTGCAGCCTTCTCCCCACTGTGACTCCGGAAGAGGCTGCTCTCCCGGGGACACCCAAGGCCTGGGCCCTGTGCCACCGCCTGCCTGGCGCCCTGGAGGCCCCGGCTCAGGCACCGACTCTCGGGTGTCCCCACCTGAGGACTTCACAGCAGAAGCATACTCAGGGAAGTCAGAAACGCCAGCACCCGGGCAGCCCCGCACAGCCGTCCATCTCCTTAACCCATCGCCGTGCGGAGCCGGCGCCAGAGTCCTGTGGAGGACAGCCAGGGGCTTGTTGGCCTGGTGCCCGCGTCCAGACACCACTCAGCTCAGTCCTCGGCTGTCAAGGGGGAGGTGGCTTAGACGTCCTCACTGGGGGTACAGGGGACGGTCTGTGAGGAGCCCTCACTTCCCGGCCCACCTCCAGCCTGGCCCAGACACCTTCCTCCAGGTGTGAGCACGTCCACTCCACCCTCCGGCTCTCGGTACTCCCAGGGTCTTCCTCTCTGGGCATTTCAGACTGGGGTAGAGTTGGCTGGGCTTCCCTCTCCCTGCCTTGGGAGGCTCCGCCCTCCTGGGCATACCTGAGCCCAGGTGTGGGCTCCCAGAAGGCCCTGGGGCTGCTTCCCAAGCAAAGGGGCTCATGGTTTTTATGGGGTACCTCCTCCTGGGTGCGTCCTGCTGGCAGCCGAATGCCTGCCCCCACCAGCCAGACCCCTGCGGCAGGTGGAACCCCAGCCATCCTGGCAGCCCTGTCCCCAGGGGTCTGATTTTCTCAGGGGGAGGGCAAAGCCTCAGGGCCTGAGCTGGGGGTGGGGGCAGGCAGGCCCCTCCCCCAGGGGTGTGAGTCAGCTGCCTCCCCGGCTCCCTAATCGGAGCTAAGACAGACTTTGCTGAGGCAGCGTTTGCCGAGCGCGCGTGCCCGGCTGCGGCGGCTCCAGGAACAGGCGACGGACACCATGAGCCTCAGCGAGGAGCAGGTGCAGGGCTTCCTGGACCAGAACCCCGGCTTCGCCCAGCAGTACTTTGAGAAGAAGCTGAGCCCCGAGGATGTGGGCCGGGCCTGCGAGGACGGGCTGCCCGCGGACTGCAGCAGCCTGCGCGAGCTGTGCCAGGTGGAGGAGGGCATGGCGCTGTTCGAGCTGGTGCAGGACATGCAGGAGAGCATCAACATGGAGCGCGTGATCTTCAAGATCCTGCGACGCCTGTGCCCCATCCTGCACGCCGACCGCTGCAGTCTCTTCATGTACCGGCAGCGCAACGGCGTGGCCGAGCTCGCCACGCGGCTCTTCAGTGTGCAGCCGGGCAGCGTCCTGGAGGACTGCCTGGTGCCCCCGGACTCTGAGATCGTCTTCCCGCTGGACATCGGGGTCGTAGGGCACGTGGCTCAGACCAAGAAGATGGTGAACGTGGAGGATGTGTCAGAGGTGGGTCTGCGAGCTGGAGCGCCTCCTGCACCTGCCCTGAGGTCACCAAGAGTCAGCTGGGCTCACTGGGCCTCCAGGGGCCCTGCACAGGGCTGTCATTCTACAAAGTGGAGTGTGGACTCTGCCCCTGTGAGAGCCTCTGTCCCCCGTAAGGTCCCCTGTCCCCTGAGGGCCTTTGTCCCCTGTGAGGGCCTCTGTCCCCTGAGGGCCTCTGTCCCCTGTGAGGTCCTCTGTCCCCTGTGAGGTCCCCTGTCCCCTGTGAGGTCCTCTGTCCCCTGTGAGGTCCCCTGTCCCCTGTGAGGGCCTCTGTCCCCTGTGAGCTCCCCTGTCCCCTGAGGGCCTCTGTCCCCTGTGAGGGCCTCTGTCCCCTGAGGGCCTCTGTCCCCTGTGAAGTCCCCTGTCCCCTGAGGGCCTCTGTCCCCTGTGATGTCCCCTGTCCCCTGAGGGCCTCTGTCCCCTGTGAGGTCCCCTGTGAGGGCCTCTGTCCCCTGTGATGTCCCCTGTCCCCTGAGAGCCTCTGTCCCCTGTGAGGTCCCCTGGCCCCTGTGAGGTCCCCTGTCCCCTGAGGGCCTCTGTCCCCTGTGAGGTCCCCTGTCCCCTGAGGGCCTCTGTCCCCTGTGAGGGCCTCTGTCCCCTGTGAGGCCCTCTGTCCCCTGTGAGGGACTCTGTCTTCTGTGAGGACCTCTGTCTTCTGTGAGGCCCTCTGTCCCCTGTGAGGGCCTCTGTCCCCTGAGGGCCTCTGTCCCCTGTGAGGGCCTCTGTCCCCTGTGAGGTCCCCTGTCCCCTGAGGGCCTCTGTCCCCTGTGAGGGACTCTGTTCCCTGTGAGGGCCTCTGTCCCCTGAGGGCCTCTGTCCCCTGTGAGGTCCCCTGTCCCCTGAGGGCCTCTGTCCCCTGTGAGATCTCCTGTGAGGTCCTCTGTCCCCTGTGAGGTCCCCTGTCCCCTGTGAGGTCCCCTGTCCCCTGAGGGCCTCTGTCCCCTGTGAGGTCCCCTGTCCCCTGAGGGCCTCTGTCCCCTGTGAGGGCCTCTGTCCCCTGTGAGATCTCCTGTGAGGTCCCCTGTCCCCTGTGAGGTCCCCTGTCCCCTGTGAGGTCCCCTGTCCCCTGAGGGCCTCTGTCCCCTGTGAGGTCCTCTGTCCCCTGTGAGGGCCTCTGTCCCCTGTGAGATCTCCTATGAGGTCCCCTGTCCCCTGAGGGCCTCTGTCCCCTGTGAGGTCCCCTGTCCCCTGAGGGCCTCTGTCCCCTGTGAGGGCCTCTGTCCCCTGAGGGCCTCTGTACCCTGTGAGATCTCCTGTGAGGTCCTCTGTCCCCTGTGAGGTTCCCTGTCCCCTGTGAGGTCCCCTGTCCCCTGAGGGCCTCTGTCCCCTGTGAGGACCTCTGTCCCCTGTGAGGGCCTCTGTCCCCTGTGAGATCTCCTATGAGGTCCCCTGTCCCCTGAGGGCCTCTGTCCCCTGTGAGGGCCTCTGTCCCCTGTAAGATCTCCTATGAGGGCTTCTGTCCCCTCTGAGGGCCTCTGTCCCCTGTGAGGGCCTCTGTCCCCTGGGAGGTCCCCTGTCCCTTGTGAGGGCCTCTGTCCCCTGTGAGGGCCTCTGTCCCTGTGAGATCCCCTGTGAGGTCCCCTGTCCCCTGTGAGGGCCTCTGTTCCCTGTGAGGTCCCCTGTCCCCTGTGAGGGCCTCTGTCCCCTGTGAGGGCCTCTGTCTCCTGTGAGGTCCCCTGTCCCCTGTGAGGGCCTCTGTCCCCTGTGAGGTCCCCTGTCCCCTGAGGGCCTCTGTCCCCTGTGAGGTCCCCTGTCCCCTGTGAGGGCCTCCCTCTGTCCCCTGTGAGGGCCTCTGTCCCCTGAGGGTCTCTGTCCCCTGTGAGGGCCTCTGTCCCCTGTGAGATCCCCTGTGAGGTCCCCTGTCCCCTGTGAGGGCCTCTGTCCCCTGTGAGGTCCCCTGTCCCCTGTGAGGGCCTCTGTCCCCTGTGAGGGCCTCTGTCCCCTGTGAGATCCCCTGTGAGATCCCCTGTCCCCTGTGAGGGCCTCTGTCCCCTGAGGGTCTCTGTCCCCTGTGAGGGCCTCTGTCCCCTGTGAGATCCCCTGTGAGGTCCCCTGTCCCTTGTGAGGGCCTCTGTCCCCTGTGAGATCCCCTGTGAGGTCCCCTGTCCCTTGTGAGGGCCTCTGTCCCCTGTGAGGGCCTCTGTCCCCTGTGAGGTCCCCTGTCCCCTGTGAGGGCCTCTGTCCCCTGTGAGATCCCCTGTGAGATCCCCTGTCCCCTGTGAGGTCCCCTGTCCCCTGTGAGGGCTTCTGTCCCCTGTGAGGGCTTCTGTCCCCTGTGAGGTCCCCTGTCCCCTGTGAGATCCCCTGTCCCCTGAGGGCCTCTGTCCCCTGTGAGGGCCTCTGTCCCCTGTGAGGCCCTATGTCCCCTGTGAGGGACTCTGTCTTCTGTGAGGACCTCTGTCTTCTGTGAGGGCCTCTGTCCCCTGTGAGGGCCTCTGTCCCCTGTGAGGTCCCCTGTCCCCTGAGGGCCTCTGTCCCCTGTGAGGACCTCTGTCCCCTGTGAGGGCCTCTGTCCCCTGTGAGGTCCCCTGTCCCCTGAGGGCCTCTGTCCCCTGTGAGGACCTCTGTCTTCTGTGAGGGCCTCTGTCCCCTGTGAGGACCTCTGTCTTCTGTGAGGGCCCCTGTCCCCTGTGAGGGCCCCTGTCCCCTGTGAGGCCCTCTGTCCCCTGTGAGGGCCTCTGTCCCCTGTGAGGGCCCCTGTCCCCTGTGAGGCCCTCTGTCCCCTGTGAGGCCCTCTGTCCCCTGAGGACCTCTGTCTTCTGTGAGGGCCTCTGTCCCCTGTGAGGCCCTCTGTCCCCTGTGAGGGCCCCTGTCCCCTGTGAGGTCCCCTGTCCCCTGAGGACCTCTGTCCCCTGTGAGGCCCTCTGTCTTCTGTGAGGGCCTCTGTCCCCCTGCGCAGCCTCTGACCTCACCCTCCAGGATTGGCCTTTTGCACTCTGGGGAGGTACGGCCCCCACTCCAGGCCCTCGGGCCCCAGACCCCTCACTCACAGCTTCCTGCTCGTCAGTCTGTCACAGACTCGCTCCTGAGGCTGCACAGACTCAGGCCCACGTCTGCACACTGGACAGAGGCCTCCACACTGCTGTGCCAGGGCCACAGGGCCGGAGGACCCAGGGGTTACAGGAGGCAGCTCAGCTGGCTCTGGGGGAGGGGCAGTGGCCAGTGGGAGCCCAGTCTCCGGGTGGCTGAGAAGGTGGTCTAGGCCCTGCTCCGCAGACCAAGGCTCCTGAGGATCTGGGAAGGGCTCGGAGCCAGAGCTGCGTCAGAGGCTGGGTGGGGGGGGACCATGCTGGCCTCTAGGGGAATCAGCTGGGCCTTGGGTCAGAACGGAAGTCTACTCGTTGACAGGCACGCTGGGGGCTGTTGGGTCTGGGGCAGCATAAGCAGGACAGAGCTGTCCACGTGTGACTGGCAGGTGATGTGGCCTGGATGTGTGATGGGCAGTGGCCGGGGAGGCTTGGACCTGAAGGGTGCCCCACGGACAAGGGGGCTCCAAGGAGGAAGGGGGCAAGGAACTGCCCAACAGCCCCAGCTCCCTGCCTTGGGCACCCTCTGCCACATCCAGGGAAGGGAGCCACGGGGTTGCCCGCCTGGAACGGGTGGCTGGGAAGGAAATGGCCGCAATCCTCTTAGAGCACCTGCTATAAACGGAGCAGCCGGGCGACCTGGATATAGTAATCCCAGGATTAGCTCCTCCCTTCCGTTTTAAGAAATGGGTCATCGTGAGTCAAACAGGCAGAGAATTGCCAGGAAACACCCGGCCTCGGGCCCTGGGTGGGGTATCCAACGCCTCCCTCGCACAAGCCCAGAGGCGGAGCCTCGCCCCCACCCTGTCCTGAGCCTGCCTCCCACCCCCAGGGTCTGTTGGCCCCACAGCCGCTCCTGCACTAGGTTTGCACTCTTGTTCTGAGGGTCCGTTCCCTGCTGGGCTGTCCTGGATCAGTCCCCTCCGCATCTTGGTGCACAGCTGGGCAGGGCTCCACAGGCAAGAACTGGGCCGTGCATGGCCTACACCATCTCGGCAGAGAAACAGAAACCAGGGTCTGGATCAGCCCCATGCTGTCCTGAGCACGGGCCAGGTGAGCTTCCAGGTCCACACCCTCACTGTACAGAGGGGAGCCTGACCAGAGAGCACCTGTGCCCCTGGCCCCTGGCATGCCCTCCTCGAGGGGGATAGTGGCATGGGGGTGCTGTTTGTGGACAGCAGGGGTCCCTGTGGGGCAGGAGTGTCCACCTCCTCTGCAATAGGGAAGTGTCTGGACAAGGTGGCTGCAAGGGCTCCCCCAGGACCCCCTCAAGCACGGGGTCCCAGGCAGCTAGGAAGCCAGCTCCTGGGCCACCCAGTGTCACCTGCATTAACAGGGAGCTGGACCCAGAGAGGAGCTGGGACTCAGACCCAAGCCCTGTGATGGGGGACGCGGGCACCTCGAGCAGTGTCTTGGGCCGCCCCAGGGGAGGTGTCTAAGGGCACAAACAGGAGCTGAGGGAAGCCGCCTGCATACACAGGTCAGCGGTCTGGAGGTGGAGACAGGGCACGTGGCGGCCCAGTGTGGGGGCCGTGGCGCGCAGGCGCTCCGTGCCCGGCTCCCGTCTAGCTCTGCAGCCTTTGAGAATTCGGAAGACAAAGCACGCGGAGTGGAGAGCGCGCGGCGCCTGTGGAAGGGGAAGCGTCTCCGGTGGAGTTTCAGACACTGTTTGTCTCAGCGACACAGGCACGAGCCCTCCCCCTGGCTCACCTGCGGACTCTGAGTCTTTCTCTGTCTAACAAGAGCCATTTCACCTCAGTACCCGTAACTTCCGCAACCAACAGATGAATGAATGAAGAAACGGGGTGCGGCGGCACCGGCCTCCCCTCCCCGCTGTGGGTATCTCAGGGCTGCCACCCTCCCATCGCTCCTGTGGACTCCCAGAGCCGGGGAGACGTGATGTGGACCCGAGGAAGCCGGCAGGGTCCAGCCCAGGCGGTGGCTTCGCAGCGCCTCTGTGCCCATCTCCACCCCTAGAGCACGTGTGCACAGCTCATGCTCCCCCCGGCACCTCTCCCCCGGACTGTCGCAGGGCCCCAGGGCCTCACCACAGGAGCCAGGAGCCCAGACTCAGTGTCCGGTGGGCAGGCGGGTAGCCGGGGGCTGTGGGGCAGAGGAGAGGAGATGCTGGGGAGGGGCTTGCGGACGTTGCCTGCAGACTCCCCAGGGGCTGCATGCCAGGGAGGCACCTGCCATGTCCTTCCTGGAGCAGGAGCCGCAGAGGTGGCCGGGGCCGGAACAGAGACAGTGCTCACCACTGCACGGTGGCGTCTCGGAGCCCCACTGTGCTCTCTCCAGGGCTGGCTGTGAAGCCCGCCCCACATGGAGTCACCCTGGGGGAGGGGCTGGACCCCTCGGACCAGAAGGATGTGGCAACAGGAGGAATCAAGTGTGCCAGGGTCCCACATTTGCCTGGAGGCTAACACAGGAAGTAGACGAGTCCGGACTGCCACGCTGGCCGTGATGAGCCCGGAGATCAGGCCAGGCTGGGCTCCCATGAGGCACTGAGGCGCGTCCCTCCTTGAGACATCAGTCTGGCAGGACGCCAGCATCAGAGGCTCCACCAGGGTGGGTTTTGCCATCTGTGGATGCCGGTAGGCAGCTGGCCTCCCTCCCTGCTGTTGTCACTGACCGTCCCTCAGCGCTGGGCACCACAGGGCTGCAGGTGGCCCTTGTGCCTCCCTGAACAGGAAGGAGGGGCCAGGGGAAGGTTGGCCCCACACACAGGTTGTGAGAACACTAAGCGCTCCCCCAGCCCCGGTGCCCTCTGACCTCCTGGTGGGGCAGATTCCCAGGAATGCCCATTTGCCATGGGGCCTGTAACCCTGAGTAAACCTGAGAGAGTCATTTTAACAGCAAACAATGCAAGCAAAAGGGCGCTTATAGGCACTTTTTCATCCACTCAGTAGGGACCAAAGCGGCAGCTACTGCTTCTGGTGCCCAGTTGACTGCTGACCCGTGGGGACAGGGAGAGCCATCCTAACTGCTGGAGGTCACCCCATGGGAGGTCCAGACCCCAGCCCCGCCCATCAGAGCCCACAGCCATCCACCCTGGTCGTGGTGCCAGAACCCTTGGCCTCATGAAAAAAAAAATGGTAGGGCCCAGGAGGTATGAGGGTGAGGCCAGGGTCAGGCCCCACTCTATGAGGTCATCTGGTAGCGCCATGACCTGCACCTCTGGCCTGAGAAGCAGGACCTCCCAGGAGAGGATGAGGGGCCAGAGGTGGACAAAGCTTCTGTCATAGGAGGAGCAGGCCCAAGGCCCACATACTGACTGTATTTATCCCACTCAAGGGCCCCCAAGAAGCCACAGATCAATAGAGGGTAGAGGGGCCTGGACTGGCCTGAGACAGCTAAGGTGGGAGAGGGGTCTTGGTGACGAGGATGATGGGGCAGGCCCCAGAACCCAGGAAGCTGACCTTGTGGGTGGCCATCAGGCATGGGAGGACCCAGTGGGGAGCAAGGCGAAGCCGGTGACACCTCCACACTCGTGGTTGTTGGCTCAGAGGTGAGGTGAGCCAAGCGGAGCCCAGGGACAGTGACCTAAGCAGGGTCCGGCAGCAGCCCCAGGCCACAGCAAAGCCCTCTCTCCTCCTACCAGTGCCCCCACTTCAGCCCATTCGCCGACGAGCTCACCGGCTACACGACGAGGAACATCCTGGCCATGCCCATCATGAACGGGAAGGACGTCATGGCCGTGATCATGGCTGTGAACAAGCTCGATGGCCCCTGTTTCACCAGCGAAGACCAAGATGTGAGTGCCACCCTCCCGTGCGTGTGTGTGAGTGTGCGTCTCCACAGGCGTCTGCCCCACTCCGCGTGCTGGCTTACCTGTTGCTCTCCCTCCTGGGCACCGTGGGAGCACTGTGCCCACTGTGTGCCCTGTGCTCTGAGCATGGATTCCCTGTGGCAGACTCAAGGGCCAAGCACAAGACCTTCAACCCCTGCTGTTACGGCTCCTGTTTCAGGTTTTCTCCAAATACCTGAATTTCGCCACGCTGAACCTGAAGATCTACCACCTGAGCTACCTCCACAACTGTGAGACGCGGCGAGGCCAGGTACGCAGGCGCCGCCTGCTGGCTCTCCCAGCCCCCAGGCGGGGCTGTCAGACCAGAGGCCTCTCTGACCGGTGGGTTCAGGCCTTGACCGGTGGTATTGTGTTGGCTGGGGCTGGGGAGGGAGTGGCTCCAAGGAGAAGCATCCTCTGGCTTTTGTGGCTGTGCTGCATGGCAGGCGGGGCAAGGTCTGAACCCTGCCAACCTTCACCTTAACCTGCCGGTGGGCAGACGTGTGTACTGCAGAAAAGCCTGCCTCACTGATACCTCTGAGTATCATTGGAAGCTGCTGGTGACCCGCAAACGAGCTACTGGCACAGAGGTCCTGGCTTCCAGCAGCTAAGTGGTTGGAAATGCAGCCAGGCCCTGGTCATCTGTTACAAAAAGAACAGCAGATCTGCTAAAAACGATGAGAGGCTGCTATGAACCTGGAGGCTGTGGGAGGAGCACCAGGGGCAACCTTCCAGCTAACAGGCTATGTGGTGAACCCCTCAGAAGCGGCGCCTCCCACAGCGCACCTGGCCCTGGTGCAGGGTGCGGCAAGGCCCTGCATCCTGGGGCCCAGTGTGGCCAGTGTAGAAGGGGCACTGGCTGCCTACACCGGAGTGGGGAAGTGTGTGTCTCAGTGTAAGGGCGGGAGGAAGATCAAAGCCAGCAGGACGGTCGAGCTGGGGCTGTGGACAGGCGACACCAGGAGAGGCCGTGCAGGGCTCTGGAAAGGCTGGGAGGCAGAATGGGCGTGGCTGGAGGCTGGAGGCAGGAGGCCAGGGTCCAGTTGAGGCCCCCAGACAAAGAGAAGGCCGGGGCTCATCCACCAGTGTCAGGACCTAGGGTGCGGCCCTTGCTGGTCCCCCACTAGGGCCATCCCTCCTCCCTCCACTAAAGGCAGATGCACACACACCACACAAACTACACACACCCACATACCTGTGGATGCTCAACCGCCCCTGCTCCCTGGTCTCGGGAGGGGCAGTCCCCTTCCCACCATGGTGCCTAGGTGACCTCAGTCTGCCCCCCGCCAGGAGCTTCTCTTCCGCCAGGGACACCTCCCTCCTACAACTCTGCTCACCACGTCTTCGGTCAAAGGAAGGAGCTGCTCCCCGCTGCGTTCTGCAGCTGCGCTGGAGCAGCTTGCGGCTGCGCTGTCCCTCGTGGCAGATCCACGAGGTGTGGGTCCACACGGCGCAGGGGCTTGCAAAGTACACACAGTGTTGTGCGGCCAGCACCACCCTCACTGTGAGACCATGCTCAGCTGCGAGCGCCGCCTGCGGCCCCTCCTGGGTCCCCAGTGTCTTCTGGCTCTGCAGACGTTGCCTCTCCTGGACGTTTCATCCGGATTTTCCATGTCACTTTAAGAAAAAAGAGTTGGTTGTTTATTTGGAAGGTAGACTTACAGAGACAGAATCAGAGAGCTCAACCTTCCATCTGCTTCTTCACTCCCCAAAGAGCCGCCACGGCCAGGGCTGGGCCAGGCTGAAGCCAGGAGCCAGGATCTCCACCCAGGTCTCCAATGTGGGTGCAGGTCCCTGGCACTCAGGCCATCCTCCCCTACTTCCCAGGCAATTAGCAGAGAACTGGATCAGAAGTGCAGTAGCTGGGACTCAAACCAGTACCCATGTGGGGTGAGGAGTCACAGGAGGCTGCTGCAGAAGCTTGGTCTGCTGTGTCACGAGGCTGACACCAAGTACTTTGGAAGTCAACATTTTTTCACAACATTGGATTTGCAGAAAACACTGGACAGGGCAGAGTCTGCCCACATCACCGGAAAGTTCAGTTTCCTGTTCGGTCTCCTCCACCAGGGCCCATGTGCCGAATCTCAACATGCCCCTCTTCCCCCAGGAGCCTCTCTGTCTCCTCAGGGTCTCTCTGTCTCCTCAGGGTCTCTCTGTCTCCTCAGGGTCTCTCAGGTCTCCTCAGGGTCTCTCGGGTCTCCTCAGGGTCTCTCAGTCTCCTCAGGGTCTCTCAGGTCTCCTCAGGGGTCTCTCTCAGTCTCCTCATGGTCTCTCAGTCTCCTCAGAGGTCTCTCTCAGGTCTCCTCAGGGGTCTCTCTCAGTCTCCTCAGGGTCTCACAGTCTTCTCAGGGTCTCTCTCAGTCTCCTCAGGGTCTCTCATCTCCTCAGGGTCTCTCTGGTCTCCTCAAGGGTCTCTCAGGTCTCCTGAGGGTCTCTCAGTCTCCTCAGGGTCTCTCTGGTCTCCTCAGGGTCTCTCAGGTCTCCTCAGGGTCTCTCAGTCTCCTCAGTGGTCTCTCAGGTCTCGTCAGGGTCTCGGGTCTCCTCAGGGTCTCTCAGGTCTCCTCAGGGTCTCTCAGTCTCCTCAGGGTCTCGGGTCTCCTCAGGGTCTCTCAGTCTCCTCAGGGTCTCTCAGTCTCCTCAGGGTCTCTCTGTCTCCTCAGGGTCTCACAGTCTCCTCAGGGTCTCTCGGTCTCCTCAGGGTCTCTCAGTCTCCTCAGGGTCTCTCTCAGTCTCCTCAGGGTCTCTCATTCTCCTCAGGGGTCTCTCTCAGGTCTCCTCAGGGGTCTCTCTCAGTCTCCTCAGGGTCTCTGTCAGGTCTCCTCAGGGGTCTCTCTCAGTCTCCTCAGGGGTCTCTCTCAGTCTCCTCAGGGTCTCTCATTCTCCTCAGGGGTCTCTCTCAGTCTCCTCAGGGTCTCTCTCAGTCTCCTCAGGGTCTCAGGTCTCCTCAGGGTCTCTCAGTCTCCTCAGGGTCTCTCATTCTCCTCAGGGTCTCTCAGTCTCCTCAGGGTCTCTCAGTCTCCTCAGGGTCTCTCTCAGTCTCCTCACGGTCTCTCAGTCTCCTCAGAGTCTCTCTCAGTCTCCTCAGGGTCTCACAGTCTTCTCAGGGTCTCTCTCAGTCTCCTCAGGGTCTCTCATCTCCTCAGGGTCTTGGGTCTCCTCAGGGTCTCTCTGGTCTCCTCAAGGGTCTCTCAGGTCTCCTCAGGGTCTCTCAGTCTCCTCAGGGTCTCTCTCATCTCCTCAGGGTCTCTCAGGTCTCCTCAGGGTCTCTCAGTCTCCTCAGGGTCTCTCAGTCTCCTCAGGGTCTCTCTCATCTCCTCAGGGTCTCTCTGGTCTCCTCAAGGGTCTCTCAGTCTCCTCAGGTTCTCACAGTCTCCTCAGGGTCTCTCAGTCTCCTCAGAGTCTCTCTCAGTCTCCTCAGGGTCTCTCAGGTCTCCTCAGGGTCTCTCAGTCTCCTCAGGGTCTCTCAGTCTCCTCAGGGTCTCTCTCATCTCCTCAGGGTCTCTCAGTCTCCTCAGGGTCTCTCAGTCTCCTCAGGGTCTCACAGTCTCCTCAGGGTCTCTCAGTCTCCTCAGAGTCTCTCTCAGTCTCCTCAGGGTCTCTGTCAGGTCTCCTCAGGGGTCTCTCTCAGTCTCTTCAGGGTCTCTCATCTCCTCAGGGTCTCTCAGTCTCCTAAGGGTCTCTCGGGTCTCCTCAGGGTCTCTCAGGTCTCCTCAGGGTCTCTGGTCTCCTCAGGGTCTCTCAGTCTCCTCAGAGGTCTCTCAGTCTCCTCAGGGGTCTCTCTCAGTCTCCTCAGGGTCTCTCAGTTTCCTCAGGGTCTCTCAGTCTCCTCAGGGTCTCTCATCTCCTCAGGGTCTTGGGTTTCCTCAGGGTCTCTCTGGTCTCCTCAAGGGTCTCTCAGTCTCCTCAGGGTCTCTCAGTCTCCTCAGGGTCTCTCATCTCCTCAGGGTCTCTCTGGTCTCCTCAGGGTCTCTCAGTCTCCTCAGGGTCTCTCATCTCCTCAGGGTCTCTCTGGTCTCCTCAGGGTCTCTCAGTCTCCTCAGGGTCTCACAGTCTCCTCAGGGTCTCTCAGTCTCCTCAGGGTCTCTCTCAGTCTCCTCAGGGTCTCTCTCAATTTCCTCAGAGTCTCTCTCAATCTCCTCAGGGTCTCTCAGTCTCCTCAGGGTCTCTCAGGTCTCCTCAGGGTCTCTGGTCTCCTCAGGGGTCTCTCTCAGTCTCCTCAGGGTCTCTTAGTCTCCTCAGGGTCTCTCAGTCTCCTCAGGGTCTTGAGGCTCCTCAGGGGTCTCTCAGGTCTCGTCAGAGTCTCAGGTCTCCTCAGGGTCTCTCAGGTCTCCTCAGGGTCTCTCAGGTCTCCTCAGGGTCTCTCAGTCTCCTCAGGGTCACTCTGTCTCCTCAGGGTCTCACAGTCTCCTCAGGGGTCTCTCAGGTCTCGTCAGGGTCTCGGGTCTCCTCAGGGTCTCTCAGTCTCCTCAGGGTCTCTCAGTCTCCTCAGGGTCTTGAGGCTCCTCAGGGTCTCTCAGTTTCCTCAGGGTCTCTAAGTCTCCTCAGGGTCTCTCTCAGTCTCCTCAGGGTCTCTCAGTCTCCTCAGGGTCTCTCAGTCTCCTCAGGGTCTCTCATTCTCCTCAGGGTCTCTCAGTCTCCTCAGGGTCTCTCTCAGTCTCCTCAGGGTCTCTCAGTCTCCTCAGGGTCTCTCATTCTCCTCAGGGGTCTCTCTCAGTCTCCTCAGGGGTCTCTCTCAGTCTCCTCAGGGTCTCTCAGGTCTCCTCAGGGGTCTCTCTCAGTCTCCTCAGGGTCTCTGTCAGGTCTCCTCAGGGGTCTCTCTCAGTCTCCTCAGGGTCTCTCAGGTCTCCTCAGGGTCTCTCAGTCTCCTCAGGGTCTCTCAGTCTCCTCAGGGTCTCTCATTCTCCTCAGGGTCTCTCAGTCTCCTCAGGGTCTCTCTCAGTCTCCTCAGGGTCTCAGGTCTCCTCAGGGTCTCTCAGTCTCCTCAGGGTCTCTCATTCTCCTCAGGGTCTCTCAGTCTCCTCAGGGTCTCTCAGTCTCCTCAGGGTCTCTCTCAGTCTCCTCACGGTCTCTCAGTCTCCTCAGAGTCTCTCTCAGTCTCCTCAGGGTCTCACAGTCTTCTCAGGGTCTCTCTCAGTCTCCTCAGGGTCTCAGGTCTCCTCAGGGTCTCTCAGTCTCCTCAGGGTCTCTCTGGTCTCCTCAAGGGTCTCTCAGGTCTCCTCAGGGTCTCTCAGTCTCCTCAGGGTCTCTCTCAGTCTCCTCAGGGTCTCTCAG